CGTTTAACCTCACCACCACCTTCAACACCTCTCCAGTGTCCAGTGGATGGGAATGCACTCACTTGGTCCCATTCTGATCAATTTGCATAGCAACAGAATAACTTGCAATTGCTTCTCTTCTTGTTGCCACATCATTATGTCTGGCGTCTCCCAGGAATTTATGCTTAGTGCTCTCCTATTCCCAGTCTACATGCTGCTCCTCAGTAATATCATCTAAAGGAACAGAGTTAGTTTATACATGATTGCCATTACCTCTCAATCTTCTGCTGTTGCTCATCACACACCTAGTACAAGATGACTAGAAATTTCTTCCAAATAAATAGTGGGAAAACTATAGTGATTGTTTTCAGATCCCATTCCAAGCTCCATTTCCTAGCTGCTGATTCGACCCTCCTGGAAACAGAGATTCATCCAGGCTTTTTGCAATTCCGGTGTCACATTCAAACAGAAAGGAGCTTCTCACCTCCTCTTTTCCTATTTCCACCTCTATATCACCACTAGATGTCACCTGTCTCAGCTCATCTGCTGAAATTCTCATTCAGGGCTTGGTTGCCTTTGGAATGGACTATTCCAATGCTGGTGTCAATTCCTGGCCTCCCGCTCATTCTATACTTTGCAAACTTGAAGTCACCAAAATTCTACTCCCCGTATCTTAACTCACACCAGGTCCCCATCGCCCCAACACTTTGTTTACTGACCTACACTGGTTCACAAAACACCTGATCCTTTTTCCAAATTCCTCAATATCCTCACTCCTCCGCATAGCCTTTGTATCTTAGCTCCTTTAATTCTGGTCTCGAGCACCCTACCCCTCCTCATTTCGATTATTCCATCATTGGTTGCCACACCTACAGCTGCCTCAACCCAACCTCTTGATTTAATCCCTCTCTGTATGGTGTACAAAGTTCCAAGGTGGCATAGACAGTAGAGAGGAAGTAACTTCTCTCTGTAGCGGAGGGATCAATAACCAGGGAGTATAAGGAGCTGGAGGTTTAGAAGAGATTAGAGGGAAAGAAAATTCACTTAGTGGTTGTGGGTACTTGAACCCATTGTCTGAAAGCATGGTAGAGGCAGGAATTCTCAAGACACCTGAATAACTATTTAGATGACCATTTGAAATGTCATTGCAAACAAGGCTATGGACCGAGCGGTAGAAAACAGGATTAGAACAGTTGGATGTTTGATGACCAACACAGGCACGATGGACTGAAGGGCCTCTTTCCATGCTGTTAAAAACTCTATGACATTTAAGATTTCTGAACATCTGGCCGAATATTTCCTTTTGTTGCATTGTGCCTTTTTTTGTTTTATAATGCCCCTATGAAGCACCTTTGGGTATTATTGCTATATTGTCCCTTTTACATAGCAAAAGGCTGTATTTTAAACATATAGAGGGATGTGAACAATGCAGCTCTCCATCATTTCAACACTGCTGTCCACAGGGAGTTCCTCATTTCCAATGTGGACTCCAAGAATCTCAGTCCCCAAAATTCTCTGTACCTGAATACTACTGGAGCAAAAATCAACTTGGATGCCGCAACCAAAACAATGTTTAAGTATTCAAAGATTTAAAATCAGCACAGCATTAACTGTATTGCACCTTGCTTAGCTTTACTTATCCTACGTAGCTTGTCCAAACAATATATTCTGCTCAGAAGTTCAGAAGTTCTTCCTCTAAAAGTTAAGAAAGAATATTAAGCAGCCCAACTTAAATTTAAAATGCATTATCTCCCTGCACTCAAGCATAATTTTAAGATTAGTAATCAGGAAGCATGTCTCAAATACTCAAACCGGTGCCAGAATTGATCCCTTTGATAGAGGAGCTATTTAGGTCTCATTTTATGAATTGCCCACAGTTTTCAGGTTATTACAAATTCAATGTACAGCAGTTTGATTTAGAAAGGAAAGAGACAAATGTCTTCAACTTGTGGTTTCATGGAAGATTAGTTTTACTGGTCTTATTCATAACTTAATTGATGTAAGGCACACTCTACATAAATTAATCTAAATTAGTAAGACAGTGCATAAGACAGAGTGATATGAGTGCTAATGTGGAGAACTGCAACTCTGGCTCTGTGGATAGAGGAACATTTTTATTATGTATGGTACTCATCCAGCTCAGTGCTCTTTATCATGTAAGCAGGAGTGGGTGAGTGTATGTGTGCACGCGCACATGTAACGTGGGGGTGCAATGACATAGGGCACATTGCATTACTATTCCCATTTTATTTCACAATAAATAAAACTCTTAATGCTTTGTGGGGATGCAACAACCTGAAGATGGCCTGTTTAGCTACTCTTGTTGCTCTAAGTTAGAGTACAAAATGTTCTCTGGATGGGCAACTTCAATGCCCATCACCAAAGATCGCTTTGCAGCACAAGTGCTGACTGAACTGGCTAAATGTCACATTCGCCAGAGTGGACCTGTTGTGAGAGAAGCAACTATTTGACCACATCTTCTCCAACCTACCCATCACAGATATATCCATTTCTCAGGGCAGGTCCTGTTACCAACCATGATTCACTCCCTCCACCAGTGGCAGTAGTCTGTACATCATCTACAAAATGTCTTGGAGCAACTTGCCAAGACTCCTTAGACAGCACTTCCCAAATCTATAACCTCGTCATAGCTGGAAGAGCAAGGGTAGCAGGAATACAGAGCTCCCCTCCAAGCCACACTCTGTCCTAACCTGCAACAGGAGAAGATCCAGGTGTTGCTGTGTTCTAATTCTTGAGCTGTGAAACATATCCGGACTTTAAACAGTCTTTTGTGCAAACAATAAAATGCAACAACTTTTGATCGATTGTGGAAACCCTTGGAGCAAAGGGCAGAGAAATCTTCTCTCTCCAGCACATTCTTAACAGAATGGACAGCAAGCTTATCAAGCATTAGAGAAACTGTCGGCACTTTACAGAAATCCAAATCAGTTTCTAATAGCTTCACTGAAGCGAATTCATACTCAGAGTAAAGATTTTGCACTTGTATTTTTTCTACTGTCAAGCAAAACAGAATTGATTGTGTATAAACACAGTGATCCGCTCAGTGATTTCTATACAACTAAGCAGCTTACAGCTGTTCCTGTTTTGATTGAAATTTCAGTCTTGGCCTTCCACAAAAGAAGGAGCTCACACAACATTTTAGAAAGCTGATGTGCAGAGTTATAACCTGTTATAATATAGCCTGTTATAACCCCATGGTGGGTTGACTGCTTTGTGACCCATTACTCAATGTACATATAGTGAGATAGGCAAATTCAAATATCAGCTCAGCAGAACAAAGAAAGGGACAGACTGGTATATGAGACAGTGCTTATCTACCAAGGAGGTCATAAGGCTAGCAAATGCTCACTCAGCAACATATTTCAGCATGCGCTCATGATATACAGGACTGCTGGTTATTTACTGACCACAGGTTCACATATCTGATCACAATAAATGGGATAGGTTACCACTCAAGTAGAAGGGCCCTCGAAGTGGAGTGGTAGTGTCCCTAGACCTGAGAGAGGAGGCCTGGGTTCAAGTCCCACCTGTTCCAGAGGTGTGTAATAACATGTCTGAACAGTTTGGTTAGAAATACTAGGGTAACTTAAAAATTTAAAAAAGCACTTAAGTAGATATTCTGCAGGGGTCAGGGAAAAAAAATGCACTTTGCATCAACAGGATGCAAGATTTACTCTGTTCCCAAGAGTAAACAGTGACAGCGATTCCCAAAGACTATATAGCACCCACACCTAAAAATCACTCCTGCAGCAGAACCTGGATAACATAGATCCAAGCTGACAAATTGCCAATAACAAACATTTCAAACAGAGAGCTCATTGATTTTTCTGGTTTTCAACAGCACCGCCAACTTCCTTATCATCAATACTCCGGGTGTCACTACTCATCAGAAAAAAAGAGCTGGATCAGCCACAAAGCAGTGATGCTGGAAGGGCACGGTAAAATCTGGGATAATCCAACTAGCATCTCCCCTGCAAATCTCTGACAACATCTCCCCCATTTCTGTTCTTACTTCAGATGTCCAGTATCCAAAGTATTTTGCATTTAGATTACTGGTTTAGAAAGAAAGGGATTAATCCAAGAGATAGCAGAAACTATTTAAATAATTGCTACTTTCTCCATCAACTGGAATGTTTTTCAACCTCTGGTGAACCTAAGAAATAGGAGAATTGGACCATACGGCCCCTTGAGTGTGCTTCAATATCATCACAGCTGATTTTCAATCTTAACACACCTCCTTCTCCCCAACTCTGGTATCTCATCATCCCTCCAGGTCAAAGATCCATCTTTCGCTGCCTTTAAAGAATTTAACAATGGATAATCTATCACATCTCAGGGGTGGAGAATTCCAAAAAGATTCACAACCCTTTGAAAAAAAAAAGATCACAGTCCTAAATGACCAAAATACTATTCGGAGTCCATGCCCCATGTTTTAGATTCCCCAAACTTTCAGCACCTACCCTAACCATTTCCCCAATAACTTTGTGTGTTTTAAGAAATTTGAAATCCACAGCAAATGATTAAAGTGAAAGTTAAATTTAGAATGATCGAAGTAATGTGTCCATGCTCAGGATCTCATTTTTAACCAATTAATCATTGCTCATAATCGCCAACATTTAGCTGTGGAGGTGGCTTTAGAACTGTGTGGATATTTGCCTTAAATATACCATTTTCTTCCCCTCGACTGCAATAGGATTCCAAAGACATGTCACCCAAATAATCACGCATCATGTGAAAGCAATTACAACAGTAACAACATTTTAGATATAATTAACTAATTTAAAAGTACTTTTGAATGATTGGAAGTCATATAAATGAACATCCTTCCAGCTCAAATGAATGGAACCAGAAGGGAAGGAGATAAATACTCATTGCTATGATTCTCGCTACATCAAAACGTACTTCAGAAAGCCTTTGAAAAAGCACTGATTATTAATATTATCACTAAGACATTTCCCAAACACAAAAACATACAGCACACAACTGTTGGGAAAACTTACTGCAAAAAGCATTTAAACTGTGAAGGTCGGAAATTTTCTACATTGATGACTTGTGGACAGTTCTCAACATCCTGGCTCAACTGTTTTCCAGAAACGCGCAAGAAAAACTCTGGGACCCTTGCAAGCAGCACAGCTTTGTGAGCTTTGAAAACAGCAGCTCCCACATGGAATGTGACATCTGTCTGACTTCCATCAATAAGGATCCTTTAAAAGATAAAAGGTCGAACAAATCACTTCATTCAATCAAGGATTTTTGTTACAGCCTTTACTCAGTGGGCTGTAATTCTCCAACAGCTCTGTAGGCTCTTTGTTCAAAGAAATGAAGGAGTTATATTCACTACAATGAATAAATGAGCATTACAAAGTATGAATAATTGTGATAATACACGAAACAAAGCTACTGATAACTGTGCAATCAGCATTAACAAAAATGAAGTTTCCAAATCAATGTTACTAAACATTTAAAGAGAACAGAATGTTAAAAGGCTAGCAGTGAGAGTGAGATTGTGCCACTAACGCTCCCTATTTTTGCATCCATGTGTTTCAGACATCTAAGGAGATATTTAAAATTCAGCCGAGGCCAGACATAGATCATTTTCACAAATTAAAAAAAGTCAAAACAGACACTTCTCAGAAAACAAGCCTCCCACTGCCATTCGGCTAAGTTTAGTTTATTCTTTTTGACCCAATCAACAGCAGATGCGCTTTTTGTTAGGTGAGGGTGGGGCGAGGGGCATAAATAGAAAACCTACACAAATTATTCTGAACTATTACATTCATTTTTTGTCTGTCATGAAATGAAATGTTCCCAGATTTAGTAGCTAAATTTTCTGCTCTCAACAATGAGCCAATGGCATATCCAGCCCCTTCCATCTTTTCCTTCATATAGTTCAGTTGTACCAATGGTTCAATCCTGAACAGTTTGAATGTAAAGTTAAAGCCACAATATTCTCTAACTCTGGGCAATCATTTGTTTCCGAGGAGCCGGACTTCCGATTATTGAGCCCAAGTTGGTCTGTCATCAGTCAAAGCATTGAGTATTAGGAGTTCGAAGGTCATGTTGCAGTTGTACAGTATATTGCTGAGGCCACATTTGGAGTATTGCACATGGTTCTGGTCGCCCTGCTATAGGAAGGATGTTACTAAACTAGAAAAGGTGCAGAAAAAGACTTATAAGGATGTCAACAGGACTGGAGAGTTTGAGTTAAATGGAGGGGCTGGATAAGCTGGATTTTTTTCACTGAAGCATGAGGGGTTGAGGGTGACCTTATAGATGTTTATAAAATCATGAGCAGCAGAGGTAAGATGAATAGCCAAGGCATTTTCCCCAGGGTAGGGGAATCCAAAACTGGCGGGCATAATTTTAAAGTGAGTGGGGAAACAGTTAAAAGTGACCTGAGTGGTACTTTATCACACAGATGATGGTTCGTACGTAGAATGAACAGCTTGAGGAAGTGGTAGATGCAGGCACAGTTACAATATTTAAAAGACATTTTGACGGGTACATGAATAGGAAAGATTTAGAGGGATATGGACCAAATGCAGGCAAATGGAATAGTTTAGTTTGGGAAACTTGGTTGCTATGGACGAGTCAGACTGAAGGGCCTGTTTCCATGCTGTATAACTCTAAGTGACATCAAGATTATTTGTGAAACATACAAACAGGTCACCAAACTCTGGAAAGGATAACAGTTGGAATAACAAGAATATTTATCAACTAAAATATTCCTTTCACCAACGATAGTAGGAGGATTTTTCATACCCAAGAAGATCCTGATTTAACTGTAAAGCCAGTGCTTCTTTCAATATTTGTCTTTCATTTTTTACTCTCTCTTGAAAACCACTGGTATCTTCCAGATTTGGTACTCTTTGTACAATGCCTCCATTCCATGTTGCCATTTCCAGGCTATTTCTATGGTTCTTAATGGTTGTGTTGGTATTTTTTCTTTTTCATCTCAGAGGAAACAAAATCTAGTTTGGAAAAAAAGTAAACAAAACAAAAATTGATATTTAAGATGTACAAGCCACAGTCCATGTTACTCTTAAGCCAAGAAGCCTGTATGTTCCAGGTCTGGCCAGCTCCAAAACAGGTACCTCTAATTTTCAACTGCCTGTTAACTATTCTCCAAAACAGCAGACCAAAAATTGAATTTGCACCTTTTGTGGCATGTTAATAATCTTCTTGGTCTATTTACAAAATCATTAGTTCAGTTATATAAGGCAATGCAATAATTTAACATAGCATCTACGGTATAACTGTTGCTGGGGAGCAAATTAAAACGTATTTCAATCTTAGGACCCCACTATTTATCACAAAACAACTTTACATTTGTTTTACGTTCTAAATTCAAATGAGGTATTATTATATGAACATTAAACTTGAAGGAAAAGATCCTGTATCTCAGACTCAGAACAACTCAAAGCACTCAACAGCTATTTGAAGTGTAGTAGGTAATCAGTGTTGCAAAGTAGGAAATTAAGTGGCATAGCATGATCCAAAGCAATGAGATAAACAACCAAATATTCTGTTTTGTTTCTTGAGGGATAAATATGGATCTGGAGACCGGGCAAAGTTCCCCTACTTTTTAAAAAAAATTGCTATGGGACCTTTTACTTCTGTAAAGTGCAGCCAGGGCCTCTGTCTAAAAATCTTATTCAAGACAGTGCCCGTCAGAACAGTTCTTCCTCAACACTGTATTTCATGTGCTGAAATCTACAGAGTGGGACCTGAACACCCATTGCATTATTGCCTCGATTTCTTAGCCAAGATAAAACATTTTCTGTCACCACTTGGTATCACTTGGTTTTAGGATACCAAATGAAAAATTCTTAAGATTTTTATATATTACAATTCAGTACAATTAAAGCAACTTCCTGTGTAGTATTGGTGATTAAAAGCAGACATGTAATCAATATTAAGGCCCATGTCCTTTGAAATACATATACAATGCTAAAGTGTTAATTCTCAATGTATTAAATTATAAAGTTTTGAGTTTTGAGGAGGGAAACAACCATAAGAATGGAGTAAAACAAAGAACGGTGGATGTTGAAGATCTAAAACAAAAGTTGAAGTTGTTGGAGAAACTCGGGTCTGATAGCATTTGTACAGAAAAAGCAGAATAAATGTTTCGAGTTCAGTGACCCTTCTTCAGAACTGACAGTAGCTTGGAAAAGGTGGTATTTATGCTAATATCGGGAGTGGTGGTGGTGGTGGTAGTGGTGGGAAAGCGTGAAGGAGTCAGTACCAAAGGGAGAGAAAAACAATTCAACAGACAAAGGGATGTCTGATAGTAAGATAAGGAATGAGAATAGCTGATAATGGAGACAATGACACTTAATTGTCTTACCATATAGACCCTATATGGAGTGACTTATTTAAATGTACACAAATTTTTCTCCTTTACAACCTATTTATTTATATTAACCATCTGTTTAGAGTTAACAACTCAAATGTCATATTAAAAAATTAAACTCAGGCGTCAACAATATAAATGTACAATCAAACCTATGTAACACTTGAGACTTTTCTGCTTGCAGTATTTTCTACCCTGCCCCCAGGCTATTAGCTTTATAGAAGTAAAACAGCACAGATGCTGGAAACCTGAAATAAAAACTCCTGAATGCTTCTGAAGAATTATATGGGAGCAAAAAGGTTAACTCACTTCTCTTTCCACAGAGGCCACAGCAATGGAATTGACTCTCAACTGCCCTCTGAAATGGCATAGCAAGCCACTCAATCATATCAATCGTTACAAAGCCTCAACAAAGAAATGAAACCACACAGAACACTTGGCACCAAAAACAGCAATAACAAAAGCAGTCAATAGTGTGTGGAGCTGGAGGAACACAGCTGGTCAGGCAACATTAAAGAAGCAGGAAAGTCGACATTTTGGGTCAGGACCCTTCATCAGGTCTGGGGAGAGGGAAGGCAGCTGGGCAATAAATAGAGGGAGGAGAGGTGGGGTTGGGGTGGAAGATAGGTGGATGCAGGTAGGGGGTAGTGGGGATTGGTCAGTGGGAAATGTGGGGCGAATAGGTGGGAAAGAAGATGGACAGGTTGCATCAGGTCAAGGAGGCAGGGATGAGAAGGAGGGTTGGCCATGGGACGAGCCCAGAGATGGGGAGATTTGAAACTGGTGAATTCTATGCTCAGGCCATTGGGCTGTAGGGTCCTGAGGAAGAATATGAGACGTTGTTTGTCCAGTTTGCCTGTGGTGTCATTGTGGCACTAAAGGATGCCCAGAATGGACATGTCACCAAGGGAGTGGGAAGGAGAGTTAAAATGGTTCACGACTGGAAGGTGTTGTTGACTATCATGTACAGAGCACAGGTGCTCCACGAATCGATCACCAAGTCTGTACTTGGTCTCACCAATGTACAGGAGGCCACATCGGGAGCAACAAATACGGTAGACCAGGTTGGAGGATGTACAGGTGAAGCCCTGTCTGATATGAAAGGTTTGCTTTGGGCCTTGAATGGAGGTGAGGGGGGAGGTGTAGGGGCAGGTGTAGCACTTCCTGCAGGTGCAGGGAAAGGTGCCAAGTGTGTTGGGGTTAGTGGGGAGTGTGGAGCCTGGAGCAGATGAGTATGTTGCAGAGTGAGCAGTCCCTACGAAAGGCAGATGGGGTGGGGACGGAAATATCTCTTTGGTGGTGGGGTCGGATTGTAGGTGGCAGAAGTGACGGAGGATGATACGCTGGATGCAGAGGTTGGTGGGGTGGTGTGTGAGGCCCAGGGGGATTCTGTCTTTATTTTTGTTTGGCGGGGGGGGGGGGGGGGGGGGGGGGGTGAGGGCAGAAGTGCGGAAAATGCAAGCGATACAGTTGAGGGCATTTTGGATCAACGGAGGGGAGAAGTTGTGGTCCTTGAAGTAGGAGGATATCCGGGAGTGGAACGCTCCATCTTGGGAGTGGAGGCAGAGGAATCGGGAGTAAGGGATTGCACTCTTGCAGGAGGGTGGATGAAAGGAGGTGTAGTCAAGGTAGCTATGGGAGTCAGTTGGTTTGAAATAGATGTCGGTGCTGAGATGGTTACTGGAGATGGAGATGGAGATGGAGAGGTCCAGAAAGGGGAGGGAGGTATCGGAGATAGTCCAGGTGAGTTTGAGCTTGGAGCAAAAGGTGTTGGTAAAGTTGATGAACTGTTCAAGCTCCTCATGGGAGCACGAGGCAACGCCGATACAGTCATCAATGTAGCGGAGGAAGAGGTGAGGGATGGCTTCAGTGTAACAGTGGAAGAGGGACTGTTCCACGTATCTTACAAAGAGGCAGACATAGCTCAGACCCACATGGGTGCCTATAGCCATCCCCTTAGTTTGTAGTAAGTGGGAAAAGTTAAAGGAAAAGTTGTTGAGGTTAAGGAAAAGTTCCATTAAGTGGATGAGGGTGTCGGTGGAAGGGGACTGGTTGGGCCTGCAGGAGTGGAAGAAGCGGAGGGCTTTTAGGCTATTTGCGTGGGGGATACAAGTGCACAGGGACTGGATGTCATGAAGAAGATGAGGCTTTGGGGGCTGAGGAATTGAAAGTCTTGGAGGAGGTGGGGGATGTGGGTAATCCAGCATTTGCAGTTCTTGCTATCTCCGAACAACAAAAGCAGCCCTCTTGACCCTGCAAAGTCTTCCTTACTAACATCTGGGAGCTAGTGCCAAAATTGGGAGAGCTGTTTCACAGTCTAGTCAAGCCCAACAGTTCTATTCATGAAATCATACCTGACGTTTAATGTCCCAGACACCACCATCCCCTCCCCTGGATAGGACCTGTCCCACCAGCAGGACAGACCCAGCAGAGGTGGTGGCACAGTGGTATACAGTCAGGAGGGAGATGGCCTGGGCTCTCAACATTGACTTCAGAGCCCACAAAGTCTCATGGCCTCAATTAAACATAGACAAGGAAACCTCCTGCTAATTACTACGTACCATCCTCCCTCAGCTGATGAATCAGTACTCCTCCACATTGAGCAATACTTGGAAGAATGCACTCTGGGTGGGGGATTTCAATGCCCACCACTACGAGTAGCTTGGCAGCATACTACTGACAGAGCTGGTTGGGTCCTAAAGATCTGCAACAGGTGGTGAGGGAAAAAACATACTTGACCTCATCCTTACCAGTCTGCAAGCTGCAGATGCACCTGTCCATGACAGTATTGATAAGAGTGACCACCACACAGTCCTTGTGGAGATGAAGTCCTGCCTTCACATTGAGAATACTCTCCATCATGTTGTGTGGCACTATCACAGCGCTAAATGGGACGGCGATCTAGCAACTCAAGACAGGGTAACCACGAGGCGCTTTAGGCCATCAACTGCAGCAGAATCAAACTCCAGCACTATCTACAACCTCATGGCCTGGCATTTCCCCTCTCAACCACTACCATCAAGCCATGGGGATCAAGCCTGGTTCAATGGAGGGTGCAGGAGGGCATACCAGGAGCAGTCCAGGCATACCTAAAAATGAGATGTCAGGTGGTGAAGCTACCAAACAGCATATAATTCTGAGGACTTGTGCTCCAAAACTTGCCACTCCCCTCGCTAGGCTACTTACAACACTGGCATCGAACCAACAATGTTGAAAATTGCCTGAGTAAGTCCTGTACAAAGAAAATAAAAAAAAGGACAAATCAAACCTGGCCAATTACTGCCCCGGTCTGCTCTCAATCATCAGTAAAATGAAGAAAAGTGTTACCCATAGTACTATCAAGCAGCACCTGCTGAGTGACACCCAGTTTGGGTTCCACAGAGCCACTCAGGTCCAGACCTCATTACAGCCTTGCTTCAAACATGGGCAAAAGTGCCGAATATTGGAGGTGAGGCGAGAGAGATAGCCCTTAACATCAAGGCTGCATTCAACCGAGTGTGACATCAAGGAGCCCTAACAAAACTGGAATCAATGGGGAAAAGTTTCTGTTGGTTAGAGTCATATCTAGCACATAGGAAGATGGTTGTGGTTGTTAAAAGATCAGTCATCTGAGCTCCAAGACATCTCTGCAGGAGTTCCTCAGGGTAGAGTCCTAGACCCATCTATCTTCAGCTGCTTCAATGACCTTCCCCACTTAAGATTGGAAGTGGGGATGCGTGCCAATGATTGGGCAATGTTCAGCACCATTCAAACTCCTCAGATACCGAAGTAGTCTACGTTCAAATGCAACAAACTCTGAAAAATACCCAGGCTCAGGTGACAAGTGGAAAGTAACATTCGTGCCACACAAATGCCAGGCAACGACCATCTCCAACAAGAGACAGTCTAACCACTGTTCCTTGACATTCAATAGTGTTACCAGTGTTACCATCACCGAATCCCGCACTATCAACATCCTGCAGGTGACCAGAAACACAACTGGACTCACCATATAAAAAGAACACAAGAACAGGTCAGAGGCTAGGAATGTTGCAGCGAGTAACTCACCTCCTGACTCCCCAAAGCCTATCCACATCTACAAGGTGCAAGTCAGAAGCGTGATTATGGAATACTCCCCCCATGCCTGGATGAGTGCAGCTCCAATAATACTCATGAAGCCAGACATCATCCAGGACAAAGCAGCCACTTGATAGGCACCACATCCAAAATCATCCACTCCCTTCACCACCAACACTCAGTAGCAGCAGTGTGTACTACCTACAAGATGCACTGCAGAAATTCAAAGATCCTTGGACAACACCTTCCAAACCGATGACCACTTCCATCTAGAAGGACAAAGATAGCAGATATATCAGAACACTACAAAGTTTCCTTCCAAGCCATTCACCATCCCGACTTGGACATGTATTGCCGTTCCTTCATCATGGTTGGGTCCAAATCCTGGAACTCGCTTCCTAAAGACATACAGTTCTATCTTCAGCACACAGATTACAGTAGTTCAAGGAAGTATCTCAGCACCACCTTCTCAAAGGCAACTAGGGATGGACAATAAATGGAGAGAGAGAGAGAGAGAGAGAGAGAGAGAGAGAGCGCGTGAGAGACCTCCAGCCCCCCAACTCATCTGAGTGGATTTAAAAAGATGTTACTAGACCTGTTGAGTTTCTGCAGCATTTTGTTTTTATATTAACTTTATAAATTCAGCACCAGTACAAATAGCAATAATTTTAAACAAGGCAGCACCTTGAAATCAATATGAATAATTTGCAAATAAAACGTAGCCTTAAATATATAACAGCTGAAAATATTCACTAACTGTTCATTATATAATGCAGTGAACAGTATAAAATGACCAAATAAACGCTCCCCTGAAGTGTCAATCATAATCTGATCAGCAAGCCCTGTACTTGGACACTATTTGAATGACCCACTTATTTAGAATATCTGCCCCAATATTACATAAGCTGATGTTTTTTCGCTGGGACGGAAAGGGGTTGCAAGAGGCAGAAAACAACATACGTCTAAAGTGTAAAGTTGGGTTGGGTGGGTCAAATGGAAAGCAGGAGGCGCTCATCCCAGAATTGACATTACCTCCGGTAGAATTCACGGAATTGCCAGTGAAATGTTAAAACTCTTCGGCTACACACACGTATCTTAAATAAAAAGGCCCGCGGTTACATCCACGGGCTTTAGGCCAAGCCAGACCGGGGAAACTCTTGTAAAGGCCCGACAGCATCCAGCGAGAAACGCCGGGTATTTGGGCGGGGGAAGTAATCACCACGCTCTATTCTTTTTTTTAAAAAAAACAAGAAGCCGGCAGCTGAGTGAAGCACCGGTTAAAGGTGGGATTTAAAATGCAATGCCGGGAGGCGAGAAAGAGCCTGCCAGCACAGCAGCGAGATTCCCTGAACACTGGGCAGTGAGGTGAGGTTAAATGGGGACAGCAGCACTGGGCTGGGTATCCTTTCAAGCAGAGGCGGCTCACTGTATCCTTGTCCGTTGCTAGGCGCCTTTAGGCGACAAAAGCGTCGAACGCCCTGGCGGCCTGACATCACAACAGAAGTCCCGCCCGCTCAACCCCATTCTCATTGGTTGGTGCCGCTCATCACGTGCCTCTGGATGACCAATCAGACGCGGCTCCCGTTATGCCCTCCCACCCAGGTGAGTTCCCTACCTGGCCTTGAAACCCAAAGAGGAGCCGGAGATTGGTCAGAGGCAGGTCTGTCTGGCAGAGATCAGGGAGAATTGTTTCACTCTCTCTCTCTCTCACCATCAGTGCTTCCAGACCGGCAACAGTTCCATTGTTCTTATACTTGCTATTTTTTTTGCTTTAGTACCTGTACCTAAGGCAGGGTCACTTGGCTGGATGGTTGGTTTGTGATGCAAAATGATGCCAACAGTGTGCGTTCATTTCCTGCTTTGGCTGAGGCTACCAGGAAGGATTCTTCTTCTCAACGTCTCCTCTCATGTGAGGTGTGTAGACCCTCAGGTTAAACCATCACCTCTCTATCTCTCTAATGAGGAGCAGCACTTCAAAAGCTTGTGATTTCAAATAAACCTGTTGAACTATACCCTGGTGTCAAGTGACTTCTGACTTTGTCCACCCCAGTCCAGCACCAACACCTCCACATTGTGTCTAAAGAGAGAGCAACTCTCTGGTCCAGTAGGACTATGGTGACTTTACCTAAGGTACCAGTTAAGGATCTTGTTTTACACACCGTGACTGTTTAGGACTAGTATGCACCACCTTTTGGGATGCTAGACTCAGATTCAATCAGTGATTTCAAAAGAAAAATTGAATAATTGGCTAAGAGAAAAAATATTTGCAGAGAAAAAACAGACTGGTACTAGGCTAGACACTCTTGCAGAGTGCAAGCACAGACATGATATGCTGAATAGCCTCCTTTTGTGCTGATGGAAGCAGAATAGGTTGAATAGTTCCTCAAACCTGCTGTGCCACTCAATACAATTCCATCTGGTCATTAACCTTGACTCCAGAAGGGATTTGATAAAGTGCCACAGCAAAGGTTAATGTAGAAAATAAATACTCGTGCTGTACAGGGTAACTTATTGGCATGGATAGAACATTGGCTGACTAACAAAAAGTAGAAAGCAGGTAGTCTTTTACAGATTGGCAAGATGCAATAAGTGGTGTGCCACAGGGATCAATGCTGGTACCTCAATTGTTTACAATTTATACAAATAAATTGGATGAAAGGATGAAGATATGGTTACCAACTTTGCTAATGACTGAAAGGTAGGTTTTTAAATTAATTTGGAAAGAGAAGGCGACAAATGATATAGATAGGTTCAGTGAATGGCAAAAAAAGTCTGGCAAGTGGAAATATAATGTGGGGAAATATATACTATCCATTTTGACAGAAAAAAAATAAAAAAAACATTAACTAAATGATGAGGCATAGCAGAGTTCTGAGATGCAGAGAGATCTGGATGTACTTATGCACAAATTGTAAAAGAATAGTATACTGGTATAGCAAGTAATTTGGAAGTATAATAGAATGAAATCATTTATTACAAGGAGAGCTGAACACATATACAGGACACTGGTGAGACTATCTGGAGTACAGTGTGCAGTTTTGGTCTCCATATTTAGAATCATAGAGTCATACAAGCATGGAAACAGACCCTTTGGTCCAACATGTCCATACCAACCAGATATCCTAAATTAATCTAGTCCCATTTGTCAGCATTTGGCCCATATCCCTCTAAACCCTATTCATATACCTATCCAGATGCCTTTTAAATGTTGTAATTATACCCACCTCCACCACTTCCTATTTAACGAAGAATGCAACTCCATTAGAAGTGGTTCAGAGAAGACTTACTAGGTTGATTTCTGGAATGAGCAGGTTGTCTTGAATGGAGAGATTGGACAGTCTAGGCTTGTATCCATTGGAGTTTCGAAGAGTAAGAGGTGAATTGAAACATAGAAGATCCTGTGGGGTTTTGATAAAGAAGATGTGGAGAGGGTGTTTCCTCTCAGAAAATCTAGAATTCCGCGCTGTCCTTTCAAAATAAGAAGTTGCCCATTGGAGACAGAGTACTGAATAATTTAAAAAAGCAAAACCAGAAAATCTTGGAAAAATTCAGCAAGTCAGGAAGCATAGTCAGGAAAGACTAGTACCCAAGGCAAAACCTCAGAGAGAAGAAACAGCCCTTTAGAACTGAGATGAGGAGGAATTTCTTCAGCCAGAGGGTAGTGACTCTATGGAACACATTACCACAGGGACTGTGGAGGTCAAGTCATTGAGTGTATTTCAGCAGAGATAAATAGATTCTTGATGAGTAAGCAATCAAACTTGACAGGGGGAGAAGGCAGGAGAATGGAGCAGCCTTGATGGGTCAATGTCCTAAATCTGTTCCTCTGTCCTATGGTGTTATGGTCTAAGAGGCATCCCAGGGCAAATGAAGCTCTGTTCTGCTAGTGGTGAGTTCAAACTGGGGCAGAATATCAGCAAGTTACTTGCTTTGAAGGCATCACAACTGAACTCAACTTTGTTCTTGCCCAAGGCACACATATTTTCTAACCAACGTTTCATAATTGCCAGGAGTTGACGCACTCATTGCTGCATCTTCATTTTCTTCACTAGGTCACTAGGCTTCCAAATGATGATTATCAGCCAAACAAGCATATTCAGAATTGAACACATATTTGCTTTTGTAAGATTGGGCATGACATGGGCTCATCACATCATATATCATTACTTTTTTAAGTGTTACTGTCATTTATTTTGTCACATTTTGGCAAGTTCAGGAGGAGGGTACCAGGACAGACTTACAAAAAACATTTTAAAGATTGTACTAAAGCAACATGTGCAGCCTCAAACCTTTGAAATAGAAGGTACATAGCTTTAAATCAGGTCTCACACTGTGCTGTAGGAGTTTCTTGTTCCGGCCTCTTTTGTTCTGGCAGTACAGTTTTAAGTTCAGAGCCTCTGATTTCTCATTATTCCTTTAGTATTGCTTTACAATTTGTATTATTTTTGGACCCAGGTTTTGTATTGAATTCTATGTATATTTGGAGTAATTCCCAGTTATGGTGTGTAGTCATTAATTATAGGCTTCCTTTCTCCATCTACATTGCTTATATTTTTGTAGCTGGGACCAGCTGCTGTTCCCCTCACCACTGGTGTCACTTAACTTCCTTTTGAGGTCCTGGAGAATTGAATTTGTTTGAATTGGCCTGCTAATGATTGTTTCAGCTGGTGTTGCAAAGTTAACAATACACTAATTCTTAAAACACAGAAACCAAGAGATTTATTTTTCAATTTACCTTCTATTCATACCTGCTTGACAGGAACAAACCCTCCAGTCAAAAAAAAAATCAACTTATACACTATGTTGTATAAAGTTTGGCACTGTAGTATAGCTTTTTTTTAATGTTGAACTTACCATCTGTACTAGCTCTGGAATGCATTTCCACATCCCATGGGTATTCACAGGGAGCAGAAATTTAAAGAACAAAACCAGTGCTTATTTCTGACATTGACACAATGTACCAATTATTTTAAAAAAAAACTTGCCACATCATGGAGGATGAAAATGCTGGTTCAGTCTACCATTCCCCACATGCTTATCTTCTCTCATGCATCGGATGGAGATGAATGGTGCTTCCTGACACAGAGGGAGAGTCTGATACGCACTGTTTTTAGGACCACAAGTCTTTGGGCACCAATAGTTGCAGAGAGCCATTGGCAGAACCATAGGAATATTCCGACTTCTACCTTCCGTTGGGTAGACATTGATGATGTGGAGGTGCTGGTGTTGGACTGGGGTGGATGAGATCAAAAATCACATGACACCAAGTTATAGTCCAACAGGTTTATTTGAAGTCTCCCTCCATCTTCAGGTGTCATGGCATAAAAGGTGGAATCATCTGACCCTACAGCAAGTGAAAAGAATAGTGGGCATAGGAAACCGTATTGGGCAAAAGCCAAAAATTCACAATTTCGCTGGTGGGATAAACATTTTCCCTAAGATTTTCCAACCCTGAAAGCTGTTGATATTCCCTACTGCAGATGTCAACAGCTTATATGCATGTGTATGCATCTCATTACGCTCCAGAATTAAGTGCTGCTTCCTTACTGACTTCAAACCAATTGAGAAATCAGTCCCTTCAGGTGCCTGACTGCATGTAAAAGGCATAAACCTGGTGGACCTGACTTCTTCCTGGAATTTGGATGAAGGACTTGCTGCTTTGTCGTATAGTATAGCTTTAAATTCAGGTTAATGCAGTGCAAATTCTCCAGCTGGAGCAAAAGTGGCACAAGAGAGGAATTGTTTGTCTCCATTTAAGGAGGTGGAACAGACGTGGTGTAGTAAAATTATGAAGTGGTAGTTGGTTGGAGGGGGGAAACAGGAAAAGTGAAGGTGCGGCTCACCTCGAATGGTCACCTCAGCACAGAAAGGTTGTAATTTTGTTGTACAAAAGGTGGTAATGGATGATAGTATAAGGTAGGGATGGAGGTTAGATAGGCCTTAGGATTAGGGTAAAAGATCGGCACAACATCGTGGGCCGAAGGGCCTGTACTGTGCTGTACTGTTCTATGTTCTATGTTCTATGGGAGGAAACAGAACCAGGAGGATCATACGGACCTTGATAGCTAGGGCTGAAGCAGGTTAACGTCCCTATGTCCGTCCTGGCTCTGTTTCCTCCCATATTCAAGGTGACCTGCACCCTCACTTTTCCTGTTTACTCCCCCAACCAACTACCATTTCATACAATTTGCCCCCAGTGATTCTACTACACCACATTTGTTGCACCTCCTCAAATGGAGACAAACAACTCAAATTAACAAGAATATAGGGGGTAACGGGACGATAGGCATCACAAGACAGTATTTTGGAAGATAATGGGGAGAGGGATACTTGGTAGGTGACAGGGACGGTCAAAGGTATTGGTTCTTATTGAAAAAGTGAAGTATAACATGCATGAGGAATTCTTTCTTTTCTTGGGTGAGTAGAGTTACTGCTTAAAGTTTATGGCTGGATGAAGGGTTACGCTATCACTCATGAGTCCGATGGCTAGAGAACCAGGCCGAGCTGAGTTCCACTCCCAATAAACCAACATCACTCCAGAACTCACGGCATCATATTCCAACATGATCCCATGAAGATGTCATCTTGTTACCTCACTATTCTTACAATCCAGGAGACCTTTGTCAACCAGGACCATACATTTGTATTGGTTGAGCATCCTCAGTGACTATATTCCCCCCCAATCCTAATGGCAGAATAATTCCAAATGCTCCCAACCCACCCCCCCGAGAGAATGATGACCTTCACATTTCAACAATGTGCTGCCAAATTCTTATCCTGAGGGTGTTTCACCCAGCTGGAGAGAACCCAACTAGGGGAAAGGTCATTTATTCCTCCACCTGCAGAGCCCAGTCACATTTCCTCATTCATACATTGATTGCCCCTCCATTCTCTGCACTGTAGCAAAATCAGGTCCATTCTTCACATTCTGACCTCATCCAACTGTCTCTGAAATCCATCTCATAAGCATTGCCTACAATCCCTCAGTGATAGGTCTATCATTCACTGGGTA